CTCTAAACAATCAAACTGAGACGCACCTCAAATTTTTATTTAAAAATATTTTTTTTTATGCCAAAAGAAAATCATCAAATCCAATCATCTCAACCTTGAGTTGAGATATATGAATGTAAAAGAAGAAAAAAAAAGACTTTAAAATATTTATAAAAAATAGAAAAGGTATATAACGAGACCATATTACTTTTGGTACAAAACGGTCACAATTCATCTTCATCATTAGATGTGAAATTAGGTGGTTGCATTTATTTTATTGACCAAACTTAGGGCTCAAAAGAAATTTATCGAACTTTGTGACACACTTAAGCTATTAGATTTTGCATGGGATGGTTGTAAGTAATTGTGAGATTCTTGCGTCAAAAGGTAAAGTGATCTCCTTGTATACAATCCCAAAAAAATATACTTAGAATAGTTGTACTAGGACAAAATTTTAAAAAAGAATTTAAATAAAGTTGCAACCTTAAAATGTAGAAATAAAGATGCACCTCAAAAATCTATCGAAAAATATTGTTTTAATGTTGAAAAATCGTGTAATTGATCATCTCAACATCGTGACATATGAATATGAAAAAAGAGGTATTTTGAGTCCCATAAATAGTGCATCTTGCAACACATTATCTAGGCCGTCCATTTTCAAGATTTTCATATATTTATAGATCTACCTGATTTTAGCTATTTTTGGCGTTTAAAATTTTATAACTATGAGAATAGATTTTCAAATAATCATAATAATTTTTTACACAAAAATTCCAAGATAAAATTCAGAGGTGCGTGGATTATTTTAAGGATGCAAACTTGCAAGAACCACACCCAAATTTTAATAAATAGTTTGATAAATTTTGATTTTTTTTTGTTAATTTTTCTTTTCAAAAAATAAATATCCTGAGAAAGTACCCGCCTTGGACCCAAGCGCTCGGAATTTCTCTCTTCCTTCTCCATCGATTCAAAGCCCAGATTTTGAATCAGTTTTCCCTTCCCAACCCATTTCAGATCCCATGTGAATCCATCTTCTTTCTCTCTCTTCCAATCCGTCTATTACTTTCTCTCTCTTCCCATCTCTGTGAATTTCACACACCCTTCTCCCCATTGGTAATTCATCGCCCTCCTCTCTCTCTCTCTTTCTATTCCGTTCTTTTTTTTGGGTTTCTTTTTATTAATTTCTCTGATAATTTCGTACAAATTTCTGAGCTCCATTAAGGATTTGAGTACCCCAGTTATGGCATTAACGCAAGAACCAGAGTCGATTTACTCTTTGAGACACCGCAAATGCTCCTTTAATCCAATTCTCCTCTCTTACTTTTCCATTTTCTTCTTGAATTTCAACCACTTCTCTGTCAGTGGACCCATTTCACAGCATTCTCCAAATCTCTCCAAGTCTCTCAAAGAGATAGGGTCCGGTTTTTCTTCTTCCTGAACCTTTGAACCTTTGACTCTCTCTAACAAAACCAAGAACCAAGTCATTGAGCTTCTTTTGCTCAAGCCTATTTCTTCTTTTTGTATGCACCTATAAGGAAAAATAATGCATAAATAACTACTATGAGTCTACGATCTTCTTACATTTATGAATCTATATTACAAAATGAACTTATAAACAAAAAAAACATATAAATCGTAAAAGTAAAATATCATCTCAAACGAACTCCAATTGCGCTCACAATCTTTTGGAGGTTTGGAGCGTTACTCCCATGTTGTCTCCACCATTGGGCTGCAATATGTGGGCAACCTTTATAATTAATTTAGGTATTTAACATTATTATAACTTGAAAGAAAATCATACATTTATATTTTATAAAACAAAAGTCAAAAGAATAGTACCTGGTTTGTCTTTGTTTCTCTGTCTTAATGCCATATCTTTCCCAAATGACATCAAAGAACACTTGTACGAAATTAACCCTTCAATTGATATCTTATCTTGGATATATGGATCTAGAACTAATTTCTCAAAGCACTCATTAAAACCATCCATAATTACCCCTTTTAACTCAATATCTGCATCTGCATAAAAGAATTTGATGTTCAAGTAGTACCCCGCTGCATGCAATGATCTATGGAGCTGCCTATCCCATTTGTCATCTATAATCTCCTAAATTAGGGCAATTGCCCAAATTCTCTGCAAACACATTCTTAGCCCTTTCCATTGTTGTATCATATATAAAGCCCATGGAAAGCTTATCAGCATCAACCAAACGCAAGACCTTCACTAAGGGAATAAATAGTAATTATCGCATGCTTCACCCCACACCAAATATATTTTGAAAGAACAATATCTCTTGCCTTTTTTCCCTTAGCATTTCTAGACCACTTACACATGCACCACTCCTCTAAAGCAAACATAGACCTTAATGTGATTCTCCTCCTATAAATGCTCTGTAGACTAAGGTAGGCAATGGCAAATCTAGTGACCTCAGGCCTCACTAACTCTCTTTTTTTTGTAAACTTGCGCATCATGCTAAGTGTAAGTATGTGACTGTATATAAAGATTGTAACATCCTTGGCCTTAAAAATAATTCTTTTAATAGTAGGCAATTCACCAATTGCTTCAAGCATAAGATCTACGCAATGTGCAGCGCAAGGAGTCCAAAATATGCGAGATCTCTTCTGTCGAAGCAAATGACCTGTAGCTAGATTGGGAGCAGTATTATCTGTCACCACTTGAATTATAAGTTCCTCCCCAACCTCCTTAATGCCCTTATCAATGAAAGAAATATATAATGCGCATCATGAACGTCAATGAAAGCATCTATTGAGCGCAAACTAACTGTACCCGTGATACAATTTACTAATAACTTCATGTTACTCCTCCTATCACTCCACCTATCTGTCATTAAATAAACCCCAAATTTAGCTCATCCCTCCTTATGAGTATTGAGATATTCGTTAGTGTACTCGACTTCTTTCTTCAATAGTGGCTCTCTAATCTCATAAGGAGTTTGAGCTTTCAAACCTGACCCAAATTGCCCAATTGCTTCCAACATTGTATGGAAGCTATTCAAGCGAGCAGTGTTAAAAGAAATGCCCGTATGGTAAAACCACCGAGATACACTAAATCACCCTGACTCTATCTTCCTTCTTAAACCTATTTTCAATTGTCACTTGTTTTTTCCTCTTTCCTCCATTGCCTTTCTCAATTACTGTCTCAAGGTTAAATGTAAAAAAACTATCTATAGGCCCTCTCGTACGAGCCTTCTTAGACCCAAAAGCCCTATTGGTCATAGAACTCTGAGTATGACTCATGGCTACCTCTTCTTCCCCATCTTCATCCTCTTCTTCAGTGTCAATATTATCATAAAAAGTATGGACCCCTGACTTTAATTCTGCTATATCCTTTTTTTTTGGCAACTTTTTTACTCTTTTCAACTTCAATGTACTCCAAAATTTTTTTCTTTACAAGATCTGAGACTTTGTTGCATGGGGCAACATCACCTCTAATACCAGCAAGATGTTTCTTAAATCTATTTATGACGGCATTAGAAACATGTCCACAGAAATTTTATTTTTGTCATTCTTATCAGGGTTAACACAATATTTCTATCCCAGATCTCCACCTCTAGTAGACCCCGCAGAAGACATCTCAAATTGGAAAAATAAAACTCAAATAAAGATTACAGACTGACATTTTCTACCCAATCTCTAATCTTTGATATTGGTTACCTCAATCGAGCTACGAATCAACTGACTAGTCTTCTAATGCCATCAATAGCACCCTAAAAATAATTTCAATCAGAAAAACAAACTTTTCAATCCACAAAAAATACTTTCGACTCTCATAAATAAGTTTAAGTTTAAGATTAAGGTTTTCTTGTTTTATACAAACTTGGGGTCAAAATGACCCCCTTGCCCTTTTGGGCGAAGTTAAAAACAAAAAAAACGCCCACTTTCATGGGCGACCGCCTAAGTACAGCCCCCCGTGTTGGGTGTCCAGGTCGAAGCGTGCAGAAATTTTTTTCTGGGCACCTAGGTCTCGGGCGGACCGTTTTTTGAAACATTGGATGGCACAACCAAAATCCACAGGATCCCACTGCCTTTTAAGTTCCCAACAAAACCTGAGCTACAAGAACAAACTTTTTTTTTTTTTGATGAAAGCTACAAGAATAAACTATATGTGGGCAAATCCACCACCACAATGGTCACTTGTAGGAGGGAAACCATTCACCATATAAAACCAGGACATTTGAAAATCTCCTAATCTAGTGACCTATATCTCACACTGTGACTATCCAGATAATTTCATTTTTATGGACAACAGCACACAATAATTACCCATACAAACAGCAATACCTACACAAGCATCAGCCTGCAAAGATGTCAGTATTACTTCCCTTCCAAAATCTCCATAAAGCAAATTTTTGGCTGGGTTAAAATCTTCATAAACCTATCATTATGCAATTCCATGAAAGAGAATAACCAATCAAGTTGCACGGTAACCAGATCCATTCCAACACCAAACCATCTGAATTCAGTGGCCTCCGCAGACAACTTCAAAGCAAAAGCAAATAACACAATTCAAAACTCTCAATGCATGACAATCATTGAGTTCAAAACGAGGTTTAATGGGTATGATATGCAGCAGAAAACAGAATGTTTGAAGGCATGACTAAAGATTTCTCCAGAAGAAACTCCGCACTCTGACCGAGAAAAAAGAACAGCTGTTTTTAAGTTAGCAGTTTTTAAGTCCTTCTGAGTGAATGGGTCTGTCCTATTTCCATGTGAATTGCAAAAACCAAAGAAATATGGATAATAATAATGTGAGTGTGATCGACTCTGTCAAGCCATGTGAGTGTGGTTAGGTGAATTGGCTCATCAATAGACAGAATTGCATTCTCTTTAATTAACAGTTACATAGGTCATTGAGTTAACTATTACAACAACAACAAAGTGACACATTAATTAACAACTTACTGCACGCGCCAAAATCAAAATATAGCTACATAAATTTTTTCAAATCATACAATACCTGCAACTTAAGGAATGCATTTTCATCTCGAAGAGAGATCACTTCCTGCCAATTAACAGGACCAGCAATCATATCAATGAATAAAAACATAATAAGCATTTCTCAGAGAAATAAACATTAATTCTCTTAATAAATGAAAATCTATGCAACCATACTCATCTAACCTGTGGTAACTCTCCACTAGCCACAGCAATATGTGGTGCATAAAGCTTTCTAATATCTTTGAGCATACATTTCTTCTTACACTGTGGACACTGTAAAGAAAAACTAACCGTTCAATGAATAAAAGATGTAGCAAGGGCAGCATTATTAGCATCCTCACAAAACAAAAAGCATGTTCCCTCACTCATATTAAACAAATACTATCTTTCCATTATTTCTCCCACACTGTTGAATCCATTTTTCAATGCAGGACTGTCCATTTAAGTGCCCACAAGAAAGACAACTGCAATCATGAAACATCAGAAAGTGATCTTTTCAGATGACAAACTATAGAAAAGGAAAGCCAATAGCTGAAGAAGCACCCAAGTGCTCAAAATTTTCAAATCAATTGACAATTGCAAGATATATGGGAAGTACTCAGTGCTTCACAATAAATAGCCAAAAGAAATGGACACATGAAACATATACACATCTATTGCAGGTTCACATCTCACAAACTAAACCTAGAAAGCAACAAAAAACTAGAAAGACTGTCGAGATTGCAGAGTCAAAAGCAAAATAAATTTTAAAATCATATTCATCATCATCATCATCATCATCATCATCACCATCATCATCAGAGCCTTTTCCCAATTCTTAAGGTCGGCTACACGAATCCTGATCTGCCATTCTATTCTATCGAAGGTCATACCCTTAGCGGGGCCATAAGTCCCCATATCTTTTCTCACTACTTCCAATCATGTCCTTTGGGCCTACCTCTTGCCCTTTTTAAGCCTTCAACTTGAATCAACTCGCACCCCCCTAACAGGTGTTGTTCTAGGTCTGTATTACACATGGTTATATGTGTTACACATGGTTAACCCACCTAAATCTACTTTCTCTTATCCTATCAATCTACTTTCTCTTATCCTATCGCCTACTGTAGCTACACCTAAGTTCTCCTGAATGTATATATTTCAAATTCTATCCCTTCTTGTCTTGCCACTCATCCATCTCAACATCCTTATCTCAATTACTCCCATCCTATGGGTATGTTGTTTCACGACCACCCAACATTCTGTCCCATAAAGCAAAGTTGGTCGTACATTTGTTTTGTAGAACTTCTCCTTCAGCTTTATCAGTATGTGGCGATCACATAAAACTCCGCTTACATATCTCTACTTCACCCACCTGGCTCTAAGTTTATGTGAGACATCATACTCAATCTCTCCATTTTCCTAGATTATCGACTCAAGATATAAAGTGACTCTTTTTGGTATTTCTTGGCCGTCAATCTTAACTACTTCCTCGTCCTTTCTCTTATTATTACTAAACAGGCATTCCATATACTATGCTTTAGTCCTGCTAATTTTTAAACTTTTAGATTCTAGAGTATCCCCCAAAGTTCTAACTTTGTGCTAACGTCGTTTCAGGTCTCAATAATCAAAACCATGTCATTCGTAAACAACATACACCATGCTACCTCATCTTGTACGTGCCTAGTTAAGTTGTCCATAACTAAGATAAAGATGTATGGGGTTGTCTCACGTGAGTCGTAACTCTTGAGTTAAGACACCAAGATGTGCCCTTGGGGTTGGCTAGCAAAGTTTCGAAGACCACACATGCAGTTCTTTTTGGCCCCAGGATTTTTGTTGGACCAGCAATCTCTCGCTATGTGGCCCACTCTCTTGCATATGAAGCTAGTTCTAGTCTCTCTCTTTCCCTTATAATCTTTCTCTCTTTTCTTTTCCTCTCCTCTATTATTCTTGTCCTTCCCCTTATAAGGTGTAAAGAAAGGTTGAGATTTTACCATGTGTACCGCTTCCTTGTACCGGTGCATTACATGTGTTCCTCCTTTCTTGCTCACCTTTGAGCAATGTGATGAGCTCCTCCATCCTTGGAGCCATTTCTCGGGCTGAGAGAGACGTGACAAAGGTCTCCCAAGAATTGGGGGAGTGCTCCGGCATGTGAACCACTTGCATTGGTTCCAGGGGTCGCTTATTGATTGCCTCCATCTCTCGAACAAGTACTCGGAAAGTATGCACATGTTCCGATATTTTTGTACCTTCGACCATTTTCATATTGTTGTATTTCTTCATAGCCACTGACTGCCTCATGAGAGAATATTTTGCATATACCGTCTCGTGCATGCCTTTTGTAGTCTTGATTGGCTCATACTCTAATGCGTATGAGTCATTCATAGAGCAAAGTAAGATATGCCTAGCACGCATATTCTTATGCTTCCATGAAGCATATGCAACACTTATAGCTTGAGATAAATTGCTTTTCGGATGATGAGGACGATGCTCAGTTTGTATCTCGTGCAAACCCTCCTCATAAAGCACATAGTCAATCTTGCGCTTCTATGAGTAGTTTGTCCCATCGAACCTTTCGATATTTAGGGTCTCCGACATAAAAGTGTGTGCAGTCATATTTCTTTTCCCAAAGCAAATACAAGACTCAAATAAAAAAAATAAAAACTCCTAACGGCAACAAGAAATCTTGCTTTGATACTAATGAAATTCGGACAAGGTGATCTATCATGGTGTATATAGTTCTTTATTTTTCTTTTTTTCACCGACTAGAACACTTCCAAAGGTCCAAGTACAATAAGCCTTACTTGAAATAAACAAATAAATAACTGAAAGTGGTCCTCACTTGCTGCCACTAATTACAACTTCTTTTATTCATCAAATAAAACCAACATAATGCCTATGGGAAATGAAAGCATAAAAATAGAAGTACTGTAGAGCACAAAATAAAGATGCTGAAAGATTATCTAAACCGAACTTAGTACAACCCACACCAGGTCTACTACTCCAATGGCGCACGGGATTAATGGTCTATCTTGGTTCTACCTAGCATGGAAAGCATTGGCTACTACCCTAATATGTATGAGTGCTATGGAACCTTGGACCACAAACTAAGCCTCAATGCCTTAGGCTATGGGGCGTGTCTCCCCTCTTAGATCTAGGTGGGGCGTGGCCCCTCTTTCTTTCTAACTATTATGCTAAGGGAGAGATGAGAGATTTTAGAGAGAAGAGAGAAGCCTAGGGGTGGCATACCACGCTAGAGAGTATAGAGAGCGAAATGAGAGAGAGAGGTATAGAGATTTGTGAAGAGAGAGCCCCTATTTATAGACTCAAGGGGTCACGATTTCCTTAGGGTTAGCCATCCTTAGTGTGATTAGATCCAAATCATTGATCATAGGAGACTTGTGGGGTAAGAGATATGAGTCATCCAATCTTTAGATCAGTCATTATGATTCAAAGGAAGGTGCTAGAACCTTATTCTTCAGCTTCATAAACCTAATCCCATCAAATAATGAAATATGGAAAATATTATCAATCTTGTTTTAATTTTCTATAATATTCTTACACATGATATATCGATTGAAATCAAGCTTCCTTAATTTCAAATCATATTATAATTTATCAACAAGCCTCGGTGGCTTGACAATGTTATAATAAGTAAGAAGCAATCTAGGTGGGGCGTGCCACCCTAGGTAGCCTCATGTGGGTCCCATCAATTTTCCCTGTGATTTAATTAATGGTGGGCCTAAAGCTCATCATGGGACCCCAGATGTCTAGTAACTTATAAAATTCATAAATTGATTTTTAAAAGATTGAAAATAAACTTTATTTTTCTCTGTTTATTTAAATACTTAAAATTGAATATCAATTCATTTGCAAAATTAAAATATCCAGATACTCATAAAAATTCAAATAATCATTCTAAAAATTATTTAACATCAAAATAATCAAAATCGAATAATTTTAATGGGAATCAGATCTGACTAAGTCTAGCAATTATAATATCGCTGAAGCACTTCATCTTCTACTGTGAACTATACTCAACACTTGCTTTCTCAAACTAACCTAACAGTTTCCATGACCTACAGACCACTGCAAGGGTTCATGATTGGGCTACCAAAGTCAACCAATAGGCAAGGGCACAATCTCAGTCTATGGATTACATGTTCTCCTCTAGAGACGAGTCCAAGGTCACACAGACCTAATTCAATCACAGCTTTATGGTGAATAGGGGTAATCTCTTGAACATATACATGCTTCACCCTCAATGGTGACTCGCTTTCCCGATACGGCTATCACATGTGCATGACGTGTGCTGGTTTAGTGATGAGGCTTTGGCCCTCATCTCTAGAGGCCTACTATCACCCACAAGGGTCACACAGTCCCTTGGTTCACTCTCCTGAGCAACTCAGACCTCATAAAGGGATGAACCTTCAAACCTTCATTAGTTTAAACCCATGCCAGGCAATAGAGGTTTTCCAACTCGACTGGCCTAGAATGTTAAGCTAAGTATGAGTATACTATTTGCCTATAATGTTATAAACTCCCACTGAGTTTATGTTCAACTCGACTGGCCTAGAACATTAAGCTAAGTCTGAGTATAAACTCCCACTGCGTTTATGTTTCATTGCATCAAATATTTGAATACAAGCTCTCATAAGGCCTTTAATGGCCACAGAAACCTCTCAGATTGACCAATCCAAACGTCATGCCAGAACAACACCCTAAAAGCCTTATGGGGTCTAAAGCGGATACTAGCCTTGAAGAGGGAGAGACTTTTACTGATAGACCTGCAAATGCCTAAGGCATTGCTATTGAGTTACCTCTGAGGAGCCATTCAGAGTTACAGCAATGGTATTTGTGTCTCAACACAGCTAGCCAAAGGTGGTCAAAGTGGGTGGCCGAGCACCACCACCATTTCCCAACGAGGGCCAGATTGTTTGCTCAGAGAGGTCGAATGCCCAGACCACCTTTAGAGTTAGGGAAACAGACATTGACCCAAGAGATAAGATGGAACTTGTGGTCGCCTTCTCCCGAGCAAAGGAACTTACTCATAAGTTGTTCTAGCCTTGTAGTCACTGAAGCTGGAATATGGAAGAGGGACTTTTGGAACATAGGAATATTGGCTAGGGTAGCCTTGATTAGAGTCGTCCGTCCTGAAGAGGAAAGATAACGTCCTTTCTAGCCCGCAGATTAGCCATCCTGCAGAGGAAGATAACGTCCTTTCTAGCCCGCAAATCTGCTATCAAACTTATCTATAAGGTGACTCCACAAGTTATGTTTGGACTTGCTTAGGCAGAGGGGGAGACCAAGATAGGTTGAGGGTAGGTGGTAGACTTTACAACCCCATTTGCGGGCGAGTATGTTGATAATGTTAGGGTCAGCTGCTACCCCAATCATTTTGGTTTTGTCCATGTTTGCTTTTGAAACCTGTGGCCAGCTGGAAATATTTGATGAACAGAAGGAGGTTTTTTGTTACGGAGAGGCGCTGCAGAAGACAAGAGTGCTGTCGGCATATTGGAGATGGGGTACAATGGGACCTTGGTTGGCGATCTGGAAGTCTTTGAGAAGACTATGCTTGAAAAGGCTAGAGATTAACCTACTGAAAACCTCAGCCACAATTGCAAAAAGAAAGGGCGAGAGAGAGTTGCCTTGCCTGAGTCCTCTCAAAGAGGGGAAATATCCTTTGGGTGAGCCATTGATTAAGATACAGAATGAGGGGCTAGAGATGCACCCCTGTCAGTGTTTCAAAAAGCGCTAGGTGGCCCCTAGGCGGCCATGGGGGTCCAAGTCGCCCAACGGCTAGGCGGGCGCCCAGAGCCTAGGCAACCCAGTTGAAAAAAAAAAAACTAAGACCATAATCCCAATATTTTGATAATCCATAAAACCATAATCTATATTTTTCATACAATGCTAAAACAGTAAAACCATACAAGCATACGCTGATAGTCTAATATACTGTAGACTCTACACACAAAAGTTAGATAGTAGAACTAGAAATTAGAAAGTAGAAACTAAAAAAAAATATACAGAAATTCAGAAAATATACAGACACAATAGTCAACACTCAACACAACAATAACACTTAACACCAAGAGTCTTCAGTCATCACCATCATCATCATCATCAGAAGGAATAGGGTCAGCTTCATCATATGCATCAGAATTGAGACCATCATCATCAGAGTCAGCTCCCTCTTCAATATAACGCTCTTCCTCCTCTGTTCTTCTGAATTTGCCTCTTCCTCCTCTTCTTCTACCTCCTTCTTACTAATATGTGCAGATGAGGTCCTAGGAGTCTGGGCTGCTCTACCCTTTTCTATCTTTTTGTGCTTCCCTGAACTGAAATATTGTATAATTTCCTCCCTGGTAGCCTAGGAACATTTTTACATGGGGCAACGTCCCCCTTAATACCGGTAAGGTGTTTTTTAAACCAGTAAATGCCCCCATTAGTATCATTTCCACAATAATTACATTTAATACGATTTTTGTTATTCGGATTCGGGTTATAACCATACTTCCAACCTGGATCACCACTTCTAGAAGAATCTGGAGAAGATATTTCTGTAGAACAAGGTTTATTTTCATCATTTTCTGGTTCTTTTAAATTCAGAAGTTGTCCAATCTCATCTCGAATAGCTTCAAGAACATTTTTACAGAAAGCAACATTCCCTTTAATATCAACAAGGTGTTTCTTGAATCAGTTGATACCCCCATTGGTATCTTTTTCACAAAAATTACACCTTATACAATTTTTATCGTTTGGTTTTGGGTTATAACCATACTTCCAACCCGGATCACTTCTTCTAGACGTAGCAGAAATAGATCTATTCAAATGACAAGGATTGTGTTCCTGTTTTGGTTTTACAAAACTTATATATTGCTTAATCTCCTCCCTGATAGCTTCAGGAACATTTTTACAAGGGGCAACATTTCTCTTAATACCGGCAATATGCTTCTTAAACCGGTCTATTTCCCTTTCGTATCTTTTTCAAAAAAATTGCATCTAATGCAATTTTTGTCATTTAGATTCGGGTTATATCCATATTTCCAACCCGGATCTCCACTTCGACTAGATCCTGAAGAAGACATCTCAAAATAAAACAAGCAATCTAAAAAATAAATTTTTGCACTTACTTTGATTGCTCGAACTCCAAACTCCCACCTCTGAGATGTTTTCTAGTACTAAAACACTAAAAAACACCCTCTAATAGGATTATAAATCTCCAAAACTAAATCAAATTTACCTAAGTGATGTTTGGATCCGTTTTCTATAACTTTGAGAAGCACTTCGATCCAATGAAAGTCACAAAATTTAGTTTTCTTGATGTTTCTTTCTCTCTAAAATGGGTTCTTGTGGGTTTAGGTTTGAAATGAACCTAAAACCTATCCTTCAAACCTTTTATATTTCAAAAAAAACAATACAACTTAAAAAAGAAAAAAAATCCGCCCTTGGGCGGGGCTCAGGCCCTGGGTTCCTGCCTGGGCGGGTTCCGTGCTACCTAGGCAGCCGCCCAAGGTTGTTCGCCCAGTTTGGCTGCTGAGGCCTGAGCGATGCGCCCAAGCCTTCCGAACGGCCTAGGTGGGCGGTTTAGTTTTTGAATCACTGACCCCTGCATCCATGCCCACCATCGGAGACTGAAACCCATCCGAGCATGGTTTCGTCGAGAATACCCCAGTTAACATGGTCATAAGTTTTTTCCCATTCGAACTTGATTACCACCACATGAACCTTGGCGATGTGTCTGAAATGGACGGCTCCATGAGCCACTAGAGCCCGATCCAAGATTTGGCGTTCTTTGATGAAAGCTCCCTAGAATGGGGAGATGACCTAGCCAAGAACTTTTCTGAACCTGGATGCCAAGACTTTGGACAAAATCTTGTAAGAGAAGTTGAAAAGACTAATGGGGCAGAAATCTTTGAGTACTTCTGCCCCTTCGATTTCGACTAATGGGGCATAAATCTTTGAGTTCTTCTGCCCCTTCGATTTCGAGGATAAGGGCCATAAATGTCATGTTCATGACCTTGTGGATGGTGGTCCTAAAATGAAAGTCATTGCAAAAAAACAATAAGTCCGGTTTTAGCACTTCCCAAAAGGATTTGAAAAGAGCAATGGGGAACCCGTCAGGGCCAGGGGCTCGGTCATGGCCCAAAGATTTGATAGCCCTGAGAACTTCGTCTTTTTTGAAAGATTTCTCAAGCCAAGCAGCTATGTCAGGAATAGGATTTTAAATTGAATGCGAGCCATGGTGGGTCTGGGCCCTGTGTGAGCCTAGAATAGAGTGCATATGTGATTAGTGAAGTCTATGTCGATCTTTGAGGCCAGGTTCAGTGTATTGTTTCCCACCTTGAGTTGGGAAATAATGTTATCCCTTCTCCTGTAATTTGCTATTATATGGAAGAGTCTAGTATTGTGATCCCCTAGTTTGAGCCACTTGACTCTCGACCTCTGAGACCACTTCCTTGCTGAGGAGTACCTGGAATGAAAGTTTCAGTTGGGATACGATATCCCTTTCACTTAGGGTGAGGGGGCGACTCTCCTCAACTGTGTCCCAATAACTGATGGAGTGGAGAATGGATTCATTTTAGGGTCTGAAATTTCAATTTCTTTTTTTTTTTTTGAACCCAATTAAGTTAAATGGAGTCGCCCGAGTAACTCGGCTCGGTCAAGGGCCGAGTACCTTGGCTGAGTCATTTTTCTGTACATCGGGAAAATGCAATCATGGTATTGGAGAGCTATTAAATGAGCATGATGCAGAACAAATCATTGCAAGGGATCTAAAGCAAAAAAAGGTACACTAGCTTCTTATAGCTACCAATGCAAGTGCCTATAACAAATGGAACATTCCGTACATGGACAGAGATTTACTTTCCATGAAGAGGACAAAAAATCCATTGAGTCCCTCAAAATCCATGATATCAACAGCCACAGAATCAGAGTTGAAGATGACAGCTATGGCTCATATAGATATCCTAATGATGAGCATAATGGGGATGATAATATTATATCACTAGCATGTGTTCATGCCTTAATTAACTTGATGCAGAAGTTGAGAAATGCAATTTAAAGGCTTGAACTGTGACAATCAATCAAAAAGTAGGGGAACTTATGCTTTTGGACCACAACTTACAAGGCAGCAATTCGAGCAGCCAATGATGCTACGAGAAAGAACTCACTGAATGAAGACTGCATTATGGTGCTTGTGACCATGCTTCTCCGTAGATTTCCCACCTAACCAGATGTTCCAAAAAACATATAATTGGATAAACATTAAAATCCCTGGAGCTCATAGTTTCCAAAAAAATTATGATTGGGGAAACATTAAAATATCTAGTGTAGAAAGAGAGAGAGAGAGTTTAAAATCCCTAGCGCAGAGAGAGAGCATAATAACAAACTTGTGACAGCATTTTGATAAGGAGCAATGGAGTTTCAACTATGTCAAAGTCTCCTACAAGCATAAACCAGAATATGAATGACGATCACTTATTAACAGATTCCAGTCCCACGAAAGTGTGGTAGCAGCCAGTTTATATGAACCTGATCACATGACGGACATTTGAAAGAGTGGGATGTTGGAAAAGGCGGCTGTGATTAGGGCTATGTGGCCCCCCAAGGAGAGAAACTGGCATCGCCAGGTTGCAGGCTTGCACTCAAAACTTTCCACTACCAACCCATAAGGTTGTTGGGATTTGCCTTAGCATGGTGGTAGGCCTAGCTATTTGTTGGGTTGGTCCCACACCCATGCATTAGTCTAATAGGATGATTATTTCACTATATACATGTGTCTAACGCACGCATGCACACAAATTCATACACATGCACGAGCACACTCACACACAGTACAATGTTGAGTGACTCATTCGGCCTCCTCAATAACCAACATAATTCATGAGGGAGCGTACATTTTTTGTTTCTCTACAATGAGCAGGCAAATCAATTGAAATACAATTGGGATACAATAAATGATCACCATGACATAAATTCAGTGCCAAAATAATACAGTAATAATCAAGGCACTATCAAGGTAATAATAAAACTTTCAGTTTAATGATGGATACATTTACATTAGTTCAATAAACATGGATATTAATATCACCAACAGACAAACAGTCAACAAGCAGTTACATGTGGAATGAAACATAATAGTGACCTCAATATAAAATAATGCAAAAGCCTAATACGCCATTTCACTCACCCCCTATAGTTGGTGATGGATCCCCTACTATTGATTAGTCATTCACAAGCTTGACCAAGACACATTTTTCTTGATAAGCATTGAGCAAAATATTTCATGGCAATTGGTTTAGTGCATAAATTTGCAACAGACTAAATGATCCCCAAAAGCAACCTACACTGTATGCATGATTCTCACTAGTACATGGAAGACCTAAATGGAAATGAAGAGAACTATATATTAAATACCAATCATAACCTCTGGTTTTACACTTCTAAAATGCCATAAAATCAAATCTCTTTTTTGTAGTGTTAAATAAAAATCAAACTGTTTACTGAGAAAAAGTTCTCAACTAGCACGGTAGCTGAGTGCTTCCAAGTCATTGCCGAGTGTGGCACCCGAAATTCAGAAGGCTGTTGACTAATCTCGAAATCCCAGAATTTCAGGCCCTAACCTCCCTCCTCCACTCCACTTTCTTGCCTTTTGAGGGGGATGATAAAATTGATTTGGACCCCCCTCCCCCCCCCCATCTCTCTTCTAGTTCCCCTACAGGTGGTCAAGGCCTGGTTCCCCTTGGTTCCTCCCAAGATCCCAAATGTTCAATTGGATCACATTGTCTGAGAGAGCCGTGACTATCGACCAACTTCAAAGAAGAGGTTTACCTAATAGGTGCACTATGTGCCTAGAAGAAGAGGAGACTAATGCCCATTTGTTCATCCATTACCCTACAGCCAGCTCTGGTGGGGGGCACCTACTTCAGCTCTTTGGCTGGTCGTGGGTGACCCCATCATCCATTTCTCAGCTGGTCAACACCTTCCTCTCTCCTCCATGGACCAGACAGGGGAGATACCTTGGCGTGCAGCGGTTGCAACTACCCTTTGGGTGATCTGGTTAGAGTGCAACAATCACACATTTAGATGGGAGAAGTTGCACCCAATGGCACTATTTGATAAAGTTATAGCGCTTGTTATATTCTGGGCTAAGAATCATAACCTCTTCGAGCATTGCCCACTCTCATACTTCCAACTCAATTGGAGAAACTTACTCTCCCTCAAAACAGCTCACATATCTTGTTCCTCCCTTTGGAGACCCTGGAACAGGGCCAAGTCAAACTTAACTTTTGACGATTGCTCTCTCAGCAACCCTGGCCCTGCTGGTCTTGGGGGCACCTTCGGAGATTCTGGGGGCTCCACGCTGTTTTTTTTCACCCACTTCGCGGGATTTACAGACTCCACGGTAGCCGAAGCCTTGGCCCTCTTGGTGGGAGTTCGCTGCTTCAACCCCACATTGGGTGCAACTCTGATTGTAGAGGGGGATTCAAAGAATGTAATAGCTTCGGCTACCAGATCCTCCCTTGGCCCATGGAGATTGGAACGCATCTTTGATGAGATTTTCCACCTTTGCAAGGCTATGCAGCTGGTTCGGCAACATACTTGGAGGAAGGCCAATGCCATCGCAGATGCCCTCACTAAGGAAGGCGCCTCTCAGCAGAACTAGTAGGAGGCTTTTGAACATCTTTTTGAGCTCTAGATAGCACTTTTGTTTTACTTATATACTTGAGCATGCATAGCATATATAGCATTTTTTGGACCCCATAAGGGGTTTTTGACACCTGAACACCCAGTCTGTGGGTGGTTCATTATCTTGTACACCTCCCAAATCAATACAGTTAACCGTTTCAAAAAAAGTTCTTAACTAGAATTAAAATCAAAATCTTTGCTAAGAAAGGTTCTATACCTAGCACTAGAACATCAGTCATAAAGGACTCAAGCCCAGTCAACATGAAATAATGAAGTATCTCAAGCAAACCAAATGAAAAAGAAAACTACCAATTGTCACTAGCTTCAATGTAGCTGTATTTTATCGATAGAGGTCTAGAGGCTTCCCAACATGACCATCTAGTGGCATATAGAGGGCCAAAAAAAAAAACTTTCATATATATGGGGATAATTTACAATCCACAACCCTTCAAATTACAAAGGTTAATGTTAGAGTGAGCTGTGAAAGGTGGATTTACTATGTGGTTTCTTTTCTAAACAAAATTATTTTTTGTTATATCTTGTGCTCATCAAGTAAGTGTGTTTATATTATTAAAAAACAAGAGGTACTTTTGTCATTTTTATAAGGGATAAAGTTAATTTTTTACTGAAGGACAAGGTACCATACAGATAAAATTTCTCGACACTGACTTCTAAACTACCATT